CTCTTTATTGTGCACAGCTCAGGATCTGAGGCTGTAGGGTCAATTTTCAATGTGAGTTTTTTTTTCCCTGGGTATTCTCACCTCATCTGGAAACCAAAAGAAGAAACCCAAATCTAGAACTCAGTGAGTTAGGTGGTGATGAGCAGTGTGATACATGGGTGCTTTCAGATACAAAGTTGAACTGATAGACTTGAATATTTTAGAAGAGAATGTTTGATGTGTCTTTTTGAAAAAAACCAATCTCACACCTAAATTTTTACTGAGCTGGAGGGGACCCTGGGTCAGTGATCTGCTTCTGAGTTTAGCCAAAAAGGAGAGACTGAGGCACATGGGTCAAATATTGGCTTTCCAAACACTTAATGGAGAAAACCTGCAAAGATTTAAGGACAAATGAAGGAGGCTTTTGGGTGGCAACGTGCAGAGACAGGAGCTGAGCCCTTTCTTCTGGGGATGTGGCAAAGGTGAAGCATTGCTGGTTCAAAGGGTGAGGGAAATGCCAAGTTTGATTCCATCAAGGCAAAGGTGAAGCATGAAGTGTGTGGGATAGTGCAGCAAAAATGGAACTCACCTTTAAATACACAAAACAAAGCTTTGCCAGAGTGAACACAGCATTGCAATGGAGAAATCCAGAGAAATCCAGAATGGACTGGGTTAGAAGCGACCTTTAAAGTGCCCATGGCAGGGACATCTTTCGCTGTCGCAGGCTGCTCCAAGCCCTGCCCAGCCTGGCCTTGGGCACTGCCAGGGATCCAGGGGCAGCCCCAGCTGCTCTGGGCACCGTGTGCCAGATTCACCCTCACAGGGAACAATTCCTGCCCAATATCTCATCCATCCCTTCCATCTGGCAATGGGAAGCAATTTTTGTGTTATGTTTTTAGGACAATTTTTTTAGCTCTGAGCCCATTCCCAGCGCCTGGAGCTCACTGGGGTCTGTGCTTGAGCAGATCCTGGTGCTGGGTCACAGGGGGGAAATTAAACCTTGCTTTGAGGAGAGGGAGAGAAAAGCTGTGTGTGAAATGTGGCCTGGCTGTTGTTGGGGTTGTGTTGGGCTGTCTGGATGCAGGAATCCAGGAGTGTGCACTGCCCTCACCTCCTGATTCCTTTTCAGCTGGTTTTGCTTCCACCTTTGCTTCAGTCCTCCCTCACCCTCCTCTAAAGCATCCCCTCCTGTTTGTGCTTTTCCTCTCATGATGTTCAGCTCCTCAGGTGCTGGGAATGCCTCCAGACCTCATTAAAAGTTCTAAAAACCTTCTGTTTTCTCCCTGTTCATGTTTCACAAGGTGAAAAGGCATTTGGGATGTGCTGGAGGGCAAAGAGCTTCTCCCAGGGCAGAACCCAGAGCAGACCCACCCCAGGCAGGAGGTTTGGTGGGAAGGTGGAAGCACCAAAGCTGATCAAAGCCTTCTCCTGAGGAACAGGCTGGGACGTGTCCCACCCATGGGCCAGGCTGGCCCCTGCTCCATGGGCAGATTCCTTTAGAACTCACCCTGAAATTCCTGCACAATTTTTGCTCATTTCTCTCTGGAAGGATTTTTTGGGGCTGTTAAAGAGTAAAAAAGCTAGACTGGAATTCACAAAAGTGTGGAATAGATGACAGAGAGTAGTGTAGGTGTATCACCTGGTGAGAAATTGAGGTTTTGGGATTTTTAGTGTGTTGTGAATGGGAGCAAGATGGAGGGCACAGGGTGTCCTCTTGGGTTTCTTCTTCTTCCTTCTTCTTCATGGGTTTGGGTGGCATTTTGTAATTGGGCGGAAAAATCCACATTGGGATCAGTTATTGGGTTAAAAGGGAATCCAGGTGTCTTAATTGGACAATTTAGCTTTAAAAGACCTTGGAACAAGAGATTGTTGGCCATTTTTGTGGTGCTTTTCCAGCGTGCTGAGCCTGGTGTGGACAGCATGCAAAACTTTAGATAAGATAATAATAAACAAGAACCTCAAGACTATAAAAATCCAGTGTGTCTCTCTTTCCTGATGCAAAACCACCCCAGGAGGGTCTCCCCCAACAGGGGAGCCTGAGTCCCAGAAATTGAGGGATTGGCAACAAACATCCCAACAGGAATAGACTGGAATTGGGATCCACATGGAAATATTTCATTTTCCTTCATGGAAGGAGTCCAACCAAGGATGCCCAGAGCAAGTGAGGGTGGAGAGCTCTGCCCTGGTCACTTCTCCCAAACTGGCAGCTCTTCTGATTGCAGGAATTTTATATTCCTGTTCTCTGTGGAATTTCAGGAGATATCTTTTTTAAAAAATGAGTCTGGACCTGGACACATCATCAGTTACTGCTCCCAGGGAGGGCTTGCAGCAAACAATCCATCTCTGAGGATTCTGACTCACAGCATCATGTGAACCCATCTGAGGTTTTAATTCCAGCTTTTTCTCATTGTGAGGAGCAGAAACTTGATAGCAAACCTGGAGGAGAACAGGCATACAGACACCTGAGGGGCTGAGATGACAGCTCTGAGGGAGGAAAGCAAAGAGCTTTGATATCAACTGTTAAATCTCAATATTGATGATGGAGATTTAGAGTTTGGGTGCTCTGGGGTTTTCTGCCACCTCTTTTGCAGGCAGTGGGGGTACAAAAAGAGGAACCATCTTCAGGGGAAAATGGGGAGCATTAAATTGTGCTGCTTCTGAAAGGATGAAAACTCTGTTTTTTGACAGAGCTGGGCACCTCTATGCTCTGCACAGCTCTTAGTTCCATCTGTCCTGCCTCACATTCTCGCAGCCCTTCCTGAAGCCTGCTTGCAGGGGTGCAGATATTTCTGTGGAACATGAAAGGCCCCTGAAATCAGATATGGAATCCTGTTGTGGGCTGCTTTGATTTTTCCTTACTTGGGAGAGGTAGGAAAGGCATATTTTTAACTGGTTTTTAAGACCTTTCAGATCCAGAGGATGTCGGGCACTGCACAGGAACAGGCTCTCATTAAAAGTCTCTTAAGAAGCTGGAATGTGGCTGGAAGGAGATTAAAGGAAATAGATGAATTTAGCAAAGGGCTTAGAAAAGGAGAGAGAAATAAAGTTGGAGATCCTTATTGTTCTTTCAGATTGCAAGCAGGTGTGCATTAATTCAAAGAGTTCACTTTCTTTGCTGTATGATCTGTAGATAATAAACTCTAAATCATCCAAAACCATGCAGTTTGCCTGACTGCAAATATCTGCATATTTTATATTTAATCTTGTACAAATGTTTGCATGCTCTGATCTCCATCAGATCCTGTGTTGGCTCTGCCCTGATGAAATGCACTTGTGGTGGGAGCCTGCAAAGCAATTTTTGGGCAATTTTTGGGGCTGTCCTGGCTCTGAGAGTGGTTTCTGCTCCCAGCTGTGCCACCTGCATGGCTTTGGGCACCTCCTTTAATTCCTTTGCTGCTTGTCTAAGCTGAAATTTGGGTGAGAGATGAGTTTTGGGAGCTGTGTCTGTGCTCTGACTGTGAGACTCTTGATTCTGGGAGCCTCCAACAGAGAAATGGAATTATTTATATAATTTATATAATTATTTCCTGCTGACATTGCCCTAACTCCAAGTTTTTAGAAGGTTGATATATTATATTATATTATATTATATTATATTATATTATATTATATTATATTATATTATATTATATTATATTATATTATATTATATTATATTACATTACATTACATTACATTACATTATATTTATATTGATGTACTAAAACTATACTAAAGAAAAAGAATGGAGACATCAGAAAGCTAGACAAGAATGAATAATAAAAACCCGTGACAGACTCAGAGAGTCTGACACAGCTGGCTGTGATTGGCCATTAATTAAAAACAACTCACCTGGAGCCAATCAAAGATGCACCTGTTGGTAAGCAACTTCTAGACTACATTTTAAG